TTAAAGCTTTTGACACCAAAAACACTAGAATCAATCATTCTTGAAGCTTGACACTTGAAAATCAACTTGCAATCACCTTCTCTTAATAAACCGGATAACACTCTATTTTAAACCTCTCAATTCCTCTCAAAATAGCCAGGAACCTCAAAAATGAAGAGGTGGAGCCTCTTTTATACTTTCCTAAAAATGGCAAGTCGGCTAAACCGACTATTTCCCCCTTTCCACCTCATGCATACTCACATGTACCCATGCATATTCTCATGCATACACATACATATCCATACTTCTATGCATGCACAATAATCATATATATATATATATATATATATATTCCCACACAATATATATATATATATATATATATATATTCCCACACAATATATATATATATATATATATATATATATATATTCCCACACAATATATATATATATATATATATATATATATCCAACTAATTCACAAATTCTCATACCGGCATGTATCAATTATCATGCTATCACGTAATTATTAAATCAAATAATCACGTATTAAATACCTTGGGTAATAACCAAGATCTGGTTATCACATGGGTCATCACCAAATCAATAGGTGACCCAACAATAGTATAGATGAAATCGAATTGGGTGAGGGATGAAATCGAATCTGTATTCTTCAAAATCTGTTGGCGATGAAATCGGATAGGGATGAAATCGTTTAGGGAGGGAATTGGGTTTCTGCTGGCGATAAAATAGGATATGGATGAAATAGGATAGGGATGATAGAGGTTGTCTTTAAGAGTTTTAAGAGTTTTAGCAAAATGCTTTATAAGATAGTATAGATAAGAAAACAATAACGATTTTATTTTYGAATAAACTATAAATTTGAAAAAATATATATCAATGTTAATATCAAATCAAATATTTAAAAATTTTCATTTTTTATGTAATTTCTTTAATTTATTTTTTTATTATAATTTAATTTAAGTTTAATAATAAAATAATTTATTTTTGGTTTAATACTATCAATTTTATAAAGATAATAATTAAATATTATTTAATAATTCAATGATTATTCTAATTATATTTTAGATTTTTTAATTTAAAATGAGATATTTATCATGYATTTGATTATGTTTATCTGCAGTTAGT